CAAGTCATCTATTAGATGTAGACGATGTCATCTATCAGGACATATCGCAGCTAGTTGAAGGATGTCTGATGTGGTTACCACTCAGCCCCAGAAGACTGACATGAATAGGTTAAGCGGGCATATCAATGTCGCAGTTGTACAGGTCAATGGTAATGTTGCTTGTGCTTAGCTTGATACTGGATCAACTTTCTCTACCATTGCTGAATCCTTCTACAATGACAGCCTTAGAAGTGAGGAGTGTTCTATTATGCCATTGGAGCAATTTCTTGTCATTGAGAGCGCAGGAGGACAGACTTCCCTACAATGGTTTGGTAAGTGCTTCACTTATAGTGCCCAGCCTGAATGTTTGTTTTTGGTTGTTCTTAAGCTTTTGGTCAGTGGTAATGCTGCTTGTGCTTTGCTTGATACTGGATCAACTGTCTCTATCATTGCCGAATCCTTCTACAATGACAGCCTTAGAAGCGATGAGTGTTCTATTATGCCATTGGAGCAACTTCTTGGTGTTCCTGATACCCCGTACAACAAAACAACACCAGTGTTAGTGGGTACCAACGTCCTGAAACCATTTATGAACCAGGTGATAGCCACACATGGTCATCTCTATGTACACCAAGTCAATATACCAGCTAATTGTTTCACTTTCCAGTGTATGCGAATACATAATACACCCAAGTCAGGTAAAGTTGGTATTGTGAAGTGTGAAGAACCAACTTCAGTTATCCTAGGCTTCAACAAGGCCATGTACGTAAAAGGTAAAGTGTACGATCTACAAGGCAGACAGAAGGTAATATTTTACCCAGCCTCCAGTTCTACTCTTCCATCATCAGTTGAGGTTTTCCCATTGGTAATGGAGGTAGATGAAGAGTTTCAAGATATTGTGGATGTACGGATTACCAACCTGTCTTTATCACCTATTAGGATTTTCCCACACATGTTGTTATGCGAGCTGCAGCTAGTGGATGTTATCAGGACAGCTTCTATCAACCAGATATCAGATAAGAAGGATGTTACACCAGAGTCAGATGCCACCAGTTTCTTGGATTCAATTTTTCTTCGTCTGTCGTTAACCAAGAACAGTTGAAGGATTTGAATACTTTTCTGAGGAACTGGTCAGCAGAATTTTCCAAGTCAGAAACGGAGCATGGTTCGACACCACATCAAGCTGTCTGATGAAACCCTATTCAAGATTCCACATAGGAG